TGAGACATAGTTGACAAGTCCCATGTGCCTGTAATTTCACCAGCACCCTTACCCTTCAAAACTGTAACACGGCAAAGTGGCAGTACTACCCTGGACGAACTCACAAGGAGCTCTACTGCTACTAGTGATTTTTGAATATGATTTTCGGAACGAAAATGGCTCAAATGCTAATCCGTCAGTGGCAGCGTGTTGTCTTTGCAAATGCAGATTCAACAATAAATGCGGCATTAATATTTCGACGCGGGAGTAGAATTTTTAAACTGAAAGAACAAAATGAGAGGGACCTTTATGAATCAGTGCTATTCGAGCTTTAATTGCACAATTTCATCTTCACCACAGTGTGACTAATGTAACAAAATATTTTTTTAAGATGGTTTTACGATATAAACTCATTTTTTAATATTTTGATTTGGGTCGCTTTCATTGTAAGGGTGCGAAGTATTAGTCGGACAATTGCGTCATATTGCGTCATGCGTTAGAAGAAACATACCGACTGATTCGCTAGCTGCCATGCGTTAGAACAGTACCGACGGATAGAAAGAGACAAATTTCATTCATTAAAATACAATAGATGAATGCGTATTATTACATATGATATGGTAAAAAGAAACAGAGATAACTTTAAATATGTGTTTTTTAGAGGACATTAGTTTTATTAATGGATATTAAATGGAAATTTGTGTATTTTGTATGATTGAAGATATGAAGTTAACAAAACCATATTACGTTATTATGTACTAAGTTTTAAATAATAGTTTTATTATGAAGTAGTGTATTTTGGCAAAGTAATCGATAATATTTATTTTTCATTAAATGTTCACACGCATATTACATGAATAAAATAATAATAAATTTAGTAAATTATAACATAGCAATAAGAATATGGATTTAGTACTTTGTAATTTACAATAACATGCCTGAATTTCACAAGTTTTTCAAGTTACGTAATTTGGTTGTATTATGATACTCAATAGAGATGTGATGTGACTATTTATTTTCGTTAAATGACATCAGCTGATCGAAACTGTTCATGGCGAAATTTCCATAAATAACGTAGTGTGTACTAAAACAACTTTGCTAACTAGTTTCATACCATTAACTGAATCCGACCTTCAAATATGACTACACCTTGCTGTTACACCCTGTATAGGGTTTTCAAATTCAAATTCAAATTCAAAATAATCTGTATTTCATAGGTAAGCATTATTACACTTGAAATCGTCACAATGGTTAAACTCTACCGCTCATTCGTAAGGCAGATTCCCCTGAGAAGAATGAGCAAGAAACTCTAGGGGTTGCTCTTTGTAAATAACATTTACAATATTTTTTTTTATTTGAAACATCAGAGATCGAGACTACCTCCATGAGCTAAACGGGTCACTACCACGGATTTTTGTCATCCAGGTTTTGATTTGGGATCAAGCTTTGTACGATATGTTGTGGAGTAAGAGTAAATGCTGTGCTACCAAATACTCGAAGATGTCTGAGATTCACTTTACTACGAGTCCTACTTGAAGAGCTATTTCAGGAGTAGCTTTAGTCAAAGCAGCAGTTGGACTGTGATTTTTTAAATAACAGGCAGTGTTTACTGCTTCAGCCCAATATTTCTTCTCCAAATTAACGTCTTGCAACAAAGCTCTAGCTTTTTCAACTAACGTCCTATTCAAACATTCGGAAACGCCATTTTTTTGTGGTGTATACGGAACAGTTGTTTCGTAAACAATACCGCGTTGCTTTAAATAATTCGCAATACTTTTATTACAATATTCTGTACCGTTATCACTCCTAATGCGCTTTATCTTTACATTGGTTATGAGCAATGTTCTCACAATAGCTCGACAAGTTTAGTTCACATGTTTTTTTATTAGGACTTTAGTTTGTGGTGACGTTATAAATGTAAATTTTTCGGAAAATATCATTTTTCGAGAATGACGCAAAATATTTCTTCTTCGAATAACATTGTAAGAGTGTAATGAAAAGGTTATATCAATATGAATGGATTAAATCAGCGTAGAAACACAAGCAGTGAGACAACACTAAGCTGCGTGGATGATAGATTCTGTAACAGCACAGCATACACACTCTATGGCTATTGCTTGATTATTTATTATTATAGCTATAGTTTGTGTGTATTATCTACTTGTTATGTTTTTTCCCCTTTTTCGTTTCGTTTTTTTTTCATGTTGTAATTAGGTTTCCTAATTGTTAAATGTATGTGTGCTGTATTGTTTATTCTTTTTTAAATTCTTCTTTCTAATACCGTATCTGATGTAGATCAATTGTGACAAATTTCGGGTCTAAAACCCGAACTTTAAAAAATTGTTGATTTTTCAATTTGGGTTAAATTAAAAAAAAATGTAAAATTCAAGTAAATTTTTTAGTTGTTTTCACTGTCTTGTCGTACACATGGCTATAAGAATTATAACACATTGAAACCTCATTACCTTGGTATTAAGAGCAATTATTTTACATTATCACGTTTTTATTACATATTCTATGACAAATTCCATTATTCGTACCTAAACGAAGCTATCGTGCTAAGCCATTGTCAGTGCAGACCGCATACTCCTTACCATTCGATGTCAACTCCTTGTGCGGCGAAAGTGATAAGGGTGTTGACCATCAACATGTTATACCTGAGATTCCTCTTGAAGTGGCCTAAGACGCTTCTTCGAATTCAGTTTTTTCGGTTCTCGAGCACTTAAACTAGCATTCATTGCTCGCACAGAGAAACATTTCGTAAACCTTAAAGAGCGGATCTAAATCGGTTTATGGGCACGGTTTTGCTCGCACTTATCTTTTGGAATCCTGATTGGCTTTTTTACTTACTGTGTTTCGACAGCTGTACACTTAACATTTTCCCAGGTTTAATAAGACCTCTATAAAAACTGGGGCCATCGAGTACATTGGGTACATTGCATACATTAAGGGCTGTAAAATAGGCGCTTTGTCGTCGAGTTGCGGATACCAGCCCGTTGCACCAAGTATCAAGTAACTTTGTACTATTTCTTTACAAAATGCAGGCCGTTGTTTAATTGTTTTAACATAGCTGCTAACACTTGGAATACTCCGAATACTACATTTACAAATTCGCTTTGTGACCACTCAGTGCAAGCACACGTAAAACCTTCACAAATGTTGACTGACGCTGATGAATCAATCTAACTAGCGATGGAACAAATCTAATAAAATTCGATATTGATTTGTTTAAAAAACTTAGATTTGATTTTAATGTAGTGTCATAACTATAAAGTGAAGTTATGCAGCATGAAGTGATACCATATTATGTACAGTTTGTAGCAATATCATAAACTAAGTTAGCCCGCTTGATATTGCTATGCCTTTTCTGTTACACCTGTTTCACACATACCACAGTGTGTTAGCATTTCAGTGACTACCATTACTCTTGTATCAAATAAGATCTTTTCTTAATTAGGTATACTATAATTAATGTTAGGGTGATACACGACCAACATCATTTGGGGGGGTCAATGGAACATTCTGTTCTGTCACCCTAATTATTATCATATTATTTTATGGCTTTTTGATGATAATACATAAATGAAATAAAATGAAAGAATTTATTTCAGGCAGTAGGTGTAGTTACATGTCCATATAGTGTTATTAGGTACTTACAACTATGTTAGAATTCCGTCCTTGTTCATTTTCATGAGCAAGGATGGACATCCAATACTTAAGGATCCATTCTCTCTGCTACCTTAAGAAGACTGTTAGTGCTGTCTCTCACTTTGGTCAACAGGGATGCCACTCTCTTGCGAACGACTGCTTGAAAATTGTCAATTCTAGCCTCCGCGAACATCCCTGAAGCACAACAGTGTCGAGACAGCCCCAGCAGTCCCCTGAGGGCGTTGTTGAATTGGACATGCAAGCCACTGTAGGCTTTTTTAGTGTAATTGCTCCACAGGTTGCACGTCTAGCATTATGTTTTGAAAAGAGTGATTTTCGACTTGTCGTCATCGTGCAAACCGTGCGTACCGCCAGCGCCCTGCGTTCCCTCTCCAAGTCAACGTCGTCTGTTAAGTTTTCCGTGACCCAGTGACCCAGATACTTGAACCTAGTCACTTTCTCGAGTGCCTTGAACTGCCTCCGTGGCGGAACAGTTACCATGCTGGACTGCCACGCAGAGCTCCCAGGTTCGACTCCCGGGCCGGGAGAAATATTTGTATAGCCTACATTTATTTCTCTCGTGAGTTTGGGTGTAATTTGTGGTTGTCTATATGTATGCCCATGACACCTATGACACAGGGTTTCCTAGTGCGGGGCTAGGTTGAGTGTGTGCGTTATTATTATTATAGCTCATGACCGTTTAGAGTGATTGCTAGCGCCGAATAGGTTTTGGTACCTGATTTGAACACCAACAGTATTGTATTTAAGCCCATGGGCCGCGGCAAACCTTTCACATACATTTAACAACACTTTTAGACCAATAATTGAAGGGCTCGGCAGCACCATGTCCTCTGTATAAATTAGTTGTTTACAAAACAACCATCTTTTGAACAGCCTACCCCAGTACTACCTACTGAACGCCTCAATCAGTCCATTTATATATAAGTTAAATAAAACGGGTGAGGTCAGCCCCCTGTCTCACCCCACATTCCATTTAGTATTCCTCCGAAGACTTCCCTGCCCATCTAAACAATTCTGTCAGTTCTTTAGGTATACTCGTGTTATACATTTTATTCCATGGTATGCCATAGGATATCATGTCAAAAGCTTTTGACAGGAAGCATGCAAAAACTAGAGTTCCCCTATCGGTGTAGTTAGTACCGAACAGTGTGCTTAATAAACATCTTGGACAACACGTGATGCTACAAGACGCCCAATTCGGCTTCCGGCCTGGGCTGTCTTCGGAATCAGCTGTACTGTGCCTTATTATTATTTATAATAATTGTGGTAGCTAGAGAAACTGGCTACTTTGTTCATTGGTTATCGTGAGTCATTCTCGTGCACGTTTGATTTATCAAGTTCTTATTATGCAGGCGGTGGTGTGGATGACGAAATAATCGATTTGGTGGAGATGTCGATCTCGCAGGTGGAGAAGATGCTATTCTCACCTTCCGCGGAGTCAATAAGGAGCCCGCCCTCTTGCCTCTACGGGCTCATGTGGTTCCTGCACACCAAGGCGCCCAAGTACCGCAAGTAGGTTGCGACCTCGCACCAAAGAATATTTACCCCATACTTACTTGTGTAAGCTTTACCAGTGACTTGTAGTAAAATGTGCACTCATAATAATAACGCGAAGATTGCACAGTCAAGGGTAAAAGTATGGTCACACATACCCTTTTTATAGTCACAATTATACATACTATACAGACAGAAACGCATATTATTATATCCAATACTCAAAAAGTATAATGTGTATCAGGTACAGAATATGTAATGTAATCAATACAATACAATACAATACCAATATTCTTTATTTCACACGGACAAATACATAATAACAATACAACAAACAGTAAAAAGTACAGGTACAACAGGCGGCCTTATTACTAAATAGCAATCTCTTCCAGGCAACCTTCGGGTTACCGGAAAAACAATAAGATAAAATTATTTGAGGGCGCAACAGAATACACATATTGCACATATACAAAATTAAATGAAGAAGAAAATGTTAATAAGAAAAATTTTAAATAAATAACTAAATAATACTATTAATAACAAAATAATAAATAAATAATATATATCTATATATCTATACCTACGTAAATATAATTACCTACATACAAGATAATTAGTTTTGAGTAAAGTTTTGAAAGAATCAACAGACTTAGCGCGTCTGATCGATTCAGACAGGGAATTCCACAGTTTAATGCTTCTAACCTTGAAGGAGTTAGAATGAAAGGAAGAAGAGTGGATAGGACAGTTTAAAGTGCGACTGAGTGTAGTGCTATGATACACGAAACAATCTTTGAGGTAGGGAGGAGAGGTGGTATTAAAGAGAACAGAGTATGGAAGGGATAAAATGCGAAAGTCCCTACGACGACGAATGGGTAACCATCCAAGTTTGGATCGAAAGTCTGAAACATGGTCAAATTTACGCAACCCAAAAATGAATCTAGTGCATAGGTTCTGCAACCGCTCCAGCTTATTGAGTAGACCCTCAGACAAGTCTGGATAACAAGCATCCGCATAGTCTAGAATAGGCAGAAGGAGCGACTGTGCCAGACTGATTTTAGTCGGAATGGGTAAAAAATTCCCCAGACGTCGAATTGACATGTAAGCACCAAACATCCTCCTACTAATAATATCATTCAGTAATCATTAGTAAACACTAAACGAAAACGTGTCATTATAATGTAGCGCCGCAGTGCGGTAGCGCTTTGATTAACGCAACGTTACAACCACAGATTACTATAATAATAGTCAGGTTACAACTATGGTGCTTTCAAGTAAAAGTAACGTCATCCTACAGACGTCCGTTCTTTCGGTACTGTAAATAAAAATATTTGAGAAAAATCATGTTTTATGGCCTAGACTTTTATAGAAGAATAGGACACACCTTGTGATCCCTGCGTGGCATCAGCGCCGGTGTCTGTGCTTCCCAACTTCATTTATAGTCGCACTGGAAAAATATAACTGTAAGTATTCCATCTGGATCGCGTGGCCTACTACCGCTATACAGTTCCCGGAATTCTGTATTGAGTCCATTTCTGAATGCTGCCCTAACGGCGGCCTTCGCTGACGACGCATATCTATCAAGTAATGACTCTAAAACGGTTTCTTATCTGCAGTACACAAATTGCGAATAGATATAGCACATCCTAATCAGTTGAAATAACATGGAGACATCCCTCCTGTACTCTTAGACAAACCCTTTACGACACCTATGTAAAAACGACTAACTCGGTATAACAAGCAAACGGAAAGAGCTCATATACCATAGTATAAGCACACCCCGGACACTCCGTACAACGGTCGACAATTATTTACCTACATACAGCAAGGCGCTATCTGCACACGCGCAAATGTGTGCGTGAAGTGGCAGGGTTACCCATCACTTTCTCGCACTATTACGGTACGTGGTCAGAGCGGCAACATAGCGAAAATTCTAACGCGAATCTGTTATCTATGATTCTATTAATTAACTGCCTCCGTGGCCGAACGGTTACCATGCCGGACTGCCACGCAGAGGTCCCAGGTTCGATTCCCGGGCCGGGAGAAATGTTTGTATGGCTTACATTTATTTCTCTCGTGAGTTTGGGTGTAATTTGTGGTTGTCTATGTGTGTGTCCATGGCACCCGCGACACAGGGTTTCCCTAGTGCGGGGCTATGTTGAGTGTGTGCGTTATTTATTTATTGTGCGTTATTAATAGAATCCTAATAATTATACATGTCTATTAGGTACTTATATCGATATATTATTATATTGTTCATTAATTCACTAACTAGAGTATTATTGAAGATTTATTTCAAAAATATATTAAAAGCACTTAAAATGTTATATTTCGAACATGTACTTTTACCTAAGTAAGGTAACCAAGATATTTGAAATTGCTTGTCCAAGTTTAGTTAATAATTAGATATATTCACTACCTACCTAATATTGATCGGCAATACGAATAGAAAATTCGTTTTGGAGCATAAGGTCAAAAGCGCAAAATGACAAACGATGGCAA